AAAGAGAGAGAGAGAGAGTGAGAAAGAGAGAGTGAGAGAGAGAGAGAAAGAGAGAGAGTGAATGAGAGAGAAAGAGGGAGAGAGAGAGAGAGAGAGAGAGAACGAGAGAGGGCGGAGTGAGGGGAGATAGCGCGTGGGAAGTTGGGAGAGAGGGAAGTAACGGGAGAGATATGAGAAGAGGGTAGGAGAGATAGAGTGAGAAAGATAGATAGATAGACAAATATATACATATATACATTCATACATACATATACATACATATATGTGTGTGTGTATATATATATATATATATATATATATATATATATATATATATATATATATATATATATATATATATATATGTATATATATATATATATATATATATATATATATATATATATATATATATATATATATATATATATAGTATGTATAGGCATATATACATAATGAAAGTATTTAAAGATTCTTGTATAATGTAAAAGGTTTATTCCAATAGTTTCTCTCTTTGAAGGTCGGCCTTCACTCCCTTGCAGCGCCGTCTCCGCCTCCGCCATGGCCGCCGTCGCCGCCTCCGGCATCGCGGCCGCCTTCGTCGTGGGCGCCGTCGGCCTCGGCATCGCCAGCGTCGCCAGGACCTTGGCCAACATTCGCTTCCGCCGCCGATACCACTACCGCTACGGCCGTTCGATCCGCGGGGACTCGGCGGCGCTGGAGCGGACGATGGCGCTGATCCGGCAGGAGGACGTCACCGGGTGCGGGATGCGACTCGTGTGCGAGCTGGGGGCGCGGCCCGAACGCGGCGCCCACGAAAACGCCATCCTGGAGCTCGTCGGGTGAGAGACGCCCCGCGGCGACGTCGGTTCTTTTCTAAGTCTTGTTGTTAATTATCATTGTCATTGTCATGATGATAATAATTAGAAGTAGTTGTAGTAGTACTATTGTCATTATTACTATTATCATTGTTGTTGTTGTCATCATTCTTATTGTCATCATCATTATCACCATCGTCTCCACCACCATCAGTGCCCCCAAACTAACTCTCTCCCTTCTCCCCTCTCCACGCCCCCACCCCCACCCCCCACAGGACACTCCCCCCAGGCTCCGACCTTCGCGCCCTCAGCACCGGCGAGGGAGTCAGCGCCCTCGAGGAGTACAGGAGAGCCAGACGTCTCGGTGAACGTGGCTATGACTGCGGGAAAGCATTTCGTTTTTGTCCTTTTAATGGCACGGAACTCATGTCAGCCGTTGTGGGTTATGTGTCATGAGCTTTTGTCATGTGAATTTTTTGCGTGGGTCAGAGTGTCATTCGTTGATGTGTGTCATGGATTACTTTAAGAGTCAGTGTGGCACAAAATAGTGACATAGGTCATAAGATAGAGTGTTATGGTTTATGTGTCATGGGATTTGGTGTTACAGGTTTGCGTGTCAAGTGTCATATTGTCATGATTATCTGTGCCAAACCCCATCTCCAGTGGAATTGATGTTGTTATTTTTTTACTTCAGTTATTCTCTTTTGTTTGTATTCTGCCTTCCAAACTTAGGTAAAAAATATCGTAGCCAAACAGATTTCAATGCAAGTGCTGTTTTGGGCCTCATGACACACCCGTTTATGTATGCGGACACACACCATATGCGTATATACACGCATATACAGTATATGTGCACACATACATTTACAAAGTATGTGTGCACACACACACACTGTGTTTAAATCATCCGATCTTTATAACTGCGTTGTTATCTATACTGTAACTGTCTATAGAATGAAAAGTGCTTAAAGTCAATAATATAATAAGTAAAAAGAAAAGCAGCTGTTTATTACCACATTGTAAAATCCCATGCATAGAAAGGTTTTGTGTGCATAAAATTATCCAGATTTTAACTGCACGCACGCACGTATGTACACATATAACCACTTCAACACACGCACGAGGATTGGTTACCCCCCTCCCCCTCATTTCGCGCAGGTGATGACGTCAGCTGCAGTAGAGACCGTGGATAAAGACACAAAATATTTCATTGGCATAAAGGTAATTCATTAGTTCAGGAAGGACGACATTAACTCAAAAATATAATAATTACTGTAAATATAGATTGAATTAATCACACTACTGGCGATTTCAACGTCTCTCTCCAGGTTCGTAGTTACCAACCAAACACAGATACACGTATATGCATATACAAACAAACACAAACGCAAAGACACACACGACTGCATTTATTAAAGCAAATAAGCACAAATGATAACCCTTTTTTGTAATTTGTCAGTTGATCTTTTTTTTTATGTTTTTATGATTTCCCCCCCAAAACTACACCTATATAGCATTGGTCATAGTTGTAAAATGTCCCGAGAATATCTTTGAAAAATCTGATTGAAATGACGCCCTGATAATAATCTTTATTCATAACGATTGTACATTATCTAATACAATGTAATTCATATCCTTGTTAAAACATTTTTTTTCATTGAAGTTGGAAAACGCTGTAATGCAAAACATCCTTTCATTATATTCACGTTATTATCTACTTTGGTTAGTAAATTAGCTCCGCTTATATTTATATTTCATTTAATTTCTACTTCCTCTATGTATTTTAATCTTTATTTACGGTACCTGATACTTTCATTATTTGATTATTTTACCTCTTAGTTCGCACATTCATACGTATTTATTAACTTTTCACTCCTTGAATTTGCGATGCGTTCTAATCTAACAAATGCGCATCATTTTCTTTTTTTCTTTTTTTTATTAGAAAAACTTGTTTCATCCATGCTTGCGAACGCGCAGCCATCTACCGGCAAATTTGACAGTTCTTTCGTCACAGTCTTCTTTGTGTTTGTTTACAGTGCTTGTGTTTCCGAATTCTTTCCCAATATTCCAGTGAAAACGATCTCCTAATGAAATTGTGACACTCCCGAGAATAACACTAAATTCAGTGAAATACAATAACCTTTCGGAGAAGTTCGTCAGAGGGTCGTCACTTCTCAGCCTGCCTCATTCAACATTAAGGTAAATCCAGTTCGTATCTCTAAATGGACAGTCGCTGGCGGGAGTAACCGACTATTGAACGTATGGCCATTGTTAAGGGGGAGGGGGTAGTTTTTGGGTCACACGGAAATATATGTGCGTGTTGTGTTCTTACCAGCGCCCCATGCATTAATCCTGAGGTTGAGATTGGGGGATTGGTGCGTTTAGGATGTGGTTCATTCACTCGTTCGCTCAGATGCAGCGCCGTGTCGGATTTTCCTTGACCGTATTTTGTCTCGTTTTTTTTTCGTTTTTTTTCTCATTTCCAATGTATCATATGAAATGCGATTCTTGGCTCGTTGTTGTTTTTCCCACTTTCTTTTGTTCCTTTAAATTCCTTCCATGAGCGACCCCTCCCCCCCCCCAAAAAAAAAAAAAAAAAAAAAAAAAATCGCTCCCATGACTGATGGCCAGAGTTTCTGACGGGTGCAGTCCTGGCGTAAAGATTTGCCACAATGACAACCCAAGTAATTCCGTCGCCTATTTATCAAGCGCTGACACTAAAGTTCCTAATGACTGTCACTGAACCAGAGCGAGCATGGTTCGCAGCCGTCGCGTCAATAAAAGAAAACGTCATAAGGGAAACTCGTCGTTAGGGGTAACTCGCGAAAATCATAAAAGATGTGGCAGTAGCAATGATATAGTGAAAACTGCTGACCACACTGGATAACCACAGATGATCAACAGCTGTTAATAAGCGCTATGGCTCTACAGAGAGTTGTGCTTTCTCTTCCCTTCTTTAATGATGTCATTAGTGCCTTTCTCACTCCAGAAATGAGGTTTAAGTGTTTAAACACGTAATGAAAACGGGAGGGAAAGAGAGAGGGAGAGGTGCAGAGGGAGGGAGGGAGGGAGGTAGAGAGACAGACAGACAGCGGCAGAGAGAAGGAAGGATAAACAAAGAGATAGAGAAATAAACTTATTGACCAGTAAATTAAACAAAAAATAGGTAATTTAAGTTAAATCAAAGTATTAATACGAGTCCTCATCATTTTTTCATCTATTTATTTGAGTTTCAACATTTTTGCTCCTTTATATGTCATAGTGTGATTTTTGGCACTTGGTATTTGCAAATATTCATGTCAACTCTCTTCACAAAGTTTATTATCATCATTATTTTTATCATCATCATTACCATTATCATTATCATCATTATCTTTATCAGTATTATTATTATATTCATTTTTTATTTTCTTATTAGCTCATTATCAATATATCTGGAGATGAGGACCTAGTAATAAAATCAAATGTAATCAACAAGTATCTTTTTTATTAAATAGTTTTACAGAATAACAACTCTTTGTAAAAATCAACAATCTATTAAAGTTACAGCATAAAAGATATTTTCTATGATACTAGGCTCATTACACTCAGAGAACAACTAACCTAGCGCAAGTGCTCCTCAAAAATGACGTAAGTATATTGTGTTTTCATTCATCATAAATTGGCAGATGCCTGTTGGATGAAAAGCAACATTCCTCCGTAAAATAAAGCAGGATGTTAATGGAAAAATATGTATATTATACATACAAAATACTCAAACTAAGTCGAAATTCGTTCTGGGTGAGAAGCAATGCATTCATAATGAAGGCTGCAACACGGCCCTTATTCTCGCTTTAAACTCAGTTACGTTTACAAACGAAAGATAGTGACCAGAAAAGACCATAACATAATATTTTTCCACACTTCTTATTTGGTACGACTAAGAATACATCATTTTAGCAGTAAATATGCATCAACGACCCCACACCTGGAGATAGAATGCACACGTGTTCAGGTACGCAAAGAAGAGAGACATGGGGAATGTTAAAAATACTTTCACGCGCTGATAAGTTGTCTGTTTGTGTGTCCGTTTCTCAAGCGAGGAGCCAACACTGAATGAGTAGATATGTACAAATAAATAAGCCATTAGGTGCAAATTATACTTAACGTGTCTGTGCCCATCTATCTGTCACCTCGATCTACGTCTCCACACAGATATCGTCCTCATGCTCCTCTTTCTCCTTCTGGCGCTGGATGGAGCTGCGTCCTCAGGTCTGGAGAAGGTTCGATTCTCCTGCGAGTGATGAGCTTCCTGAGGGAGGGTCTTCGAAGGCGCCGTCTTTGGTTTCCTCTTTGGTCGTTCTCAACAGCGTCTGTGTCTGTGGTTGTGTCTGTTATTGGTGGGTCGCTTTTCTCGGCTGATGGCTGTTCGGATGGAGAAGATTCCTCCGCCTGGTTCTGGTTCGGGAGGTCGTCTTGCTGGGATCCCTCATGGTTCGAGAGCGAAGCCAAATCTGATGCCTGAGGACCCCTGGCAGGACTCTTCAAGTAAGGGCTGTAGGGGACAGGCTCAGGACCCGGCATCTGGTTCCTCGGAGGCGGCGACGGCTGGCTGGTGGCGGAGTGAGGATGAGGATTTCGAGATGTATTTTCAGGCGAGGACGTCGTCATGGTCGTCGTCTGTATACGCTGGTCGCCCTCTGCGTCAGAAGATGAAGGCCCATCCCCGTGAGACGTTGTTGAAGAGGAGGAAGCGATCTCCATGGTGGGCACAGGGCGGAAACGCGGATTTAATGGCGAGTTGTTCGCTGTCGCTTCGGGTACTTCGTGTGTCCTTTCTCCTCCTTCGTATTCATAGTCGTCGTCATCACGGGGGAAAATCGGGCCAAAATTGGGGTCGTCAGTCCAGTCCTCAGTTGAAAAGTCGTCGTAATCGGCATCGATCCAGTGGTTGAAGTCGGATGGCGGGGAATCGACGGGCCTTTCGGGGTGTCCGACGCCAGATGGAGCCAGGTGCGCGTTTCTGTCGTCGTGATCTTGAGGTGTCCATGACGTCGGCCTGTCCGAACCTGCAAAGCTATTGTCCACTGACCAAGGCTGTTGTCTGGGCTCAAGGCCGAGCCCCTTGTCTTCCTCTCGATTACTCAGGTCATATCGGATGTCGTCGAGAGGCAAGTGATCAGGTGAATCTGACTCATCCTCGAAAGTCTCAGCCTCGTAGAACTCTTCCTCATACTCTTCGATATTACGAGAACTGTCAATGAGGGTAACTGTCGTCGGCCTGGGTGCGGATCCTGTGTAGTCGCCTGGCTGGTACTTCCGGATGACCTCTTTTTGCACAACCTGAGAGTGGCTCTGTCGCCTCAACTGGTCTGTCTTCAGCGGCGTATCCTCAGAGGAAGACACGTCCTCCTTCCCTTTAGATGGAGTAGTGTCACTCAAGCCCAAGGAAGACTTCTGCGTCGTAACATGGCTGGACTCCACAATGGTATCCTTCGGTCTCGCTGTAGGATTTGATACTTTGTGGGAGCTATCGGAATCCCCAGGCGTTGAAGGCTCCTTCTTGATCTCGTAGTTGAGGATCCCCATGTACTCGTTCTGGGAGACTCCCACGTAAGCCGGGAGGAGGATGGCATTGCTCTCTTCTCTCGCCTGGACCGGCTGGCGGCTTCGGCTCGGGCGGAACGGCGGAGGCGACCACGCGATCCTCTTGGGCGGCTCCTCCGTCGCGGCGGGCGGCGCGCCTTCCTCGGTGCCATCCTCTTGGGCGACGGGGTGTTTCCTCCTCCTCAAGGGTCGACGCCTCCGGAGGGGACGCGCGCTGGCCTCGCCCTTATAGAGGGGGATGTCGACTCTTCCCTCTTTCGACTCGACATTATGATCCACTCTATCGCTTGCCTCTACAGCTTCGTTAACTCCATCGGCGTTAGGTATATCCTTCTGTTCCTGCGAGGGCACCGCAGGATACTCTGTAGTCGGGCTGATCGTCGCGTGCGTCATAGCGGCTTGCAGTGCAGGTGTCGTAGCCCCATTTAGCATGGTTTCAGAGTACTTCGAGGAAGTCGTTTCGAATACTTCATTTTCAGTATCCTCTTCGGAAAGGACTTCCTGGGATGAAACTTCTTTGCCCTCGCCAGCGACCTCCTTTATATCTGACGACGTAGTAGAGAGCGAACTGTCCCTCGTGAAGGGCGACGTGAACAGATGTTCAATGGACGAGACAGTTGGTGACGTCACATCGTGTTCCTCGGACGCCAGCTCATACTTCGTGGGCGGGAAGGACACCGCGGGCGCGGGGACGCCTGGGCCTTCGTCTTGAGCTGCAGGAGACATGGGCATGACCAAGGCCTTAGCCTGGTGCTGCCGCCACGGGATATAGAAGACGGGCCGCCCTCGCCTCTCGCTGGGCTTCGTCTCGTCGGAGGAGATGTCTTCCGGGGCCTCCTCTGAGGGCAGAAGCGTGGCCTCTTCGTAGGGCATCGTGGCTTCAGTGTAAGAGAGGGACCTTCGGGATTTCTTGACGCGGTGGCTTCCCTCTTCCGCCTGTTCCTCTTCTTCCTCGTCTACGGATTGCTTGAAGTAGTCTCTGATGGTCTTGTGTTTAGACTTGAGGAACTTGTCGTGGCCAGGGATGAGAGCCGATGGATCAATGGTGCTGTGGAAGAACTGGTGAATGTCGTAGTCCTGAGGATCGAGGTCGGTGTCGGCGAACCTGAAGTCGTTGGGGGTCGTCCTGGAGTGTCCCTTGGTGTAATCGGCGTCGGTGGAAGGCGCGGCCGTGGTGCGGTGTCGCTGCGTGGGCCTCCTCCTCTTGTAGCCGTACCTCGTTGCTGAGTCTGCCTCGGGGATGTCTGTCGTGTAAAGGAGGTTCGTCAGCTCGGATGTAGAACCTCCCTCTTCGACGGGCGTGTAGAGACTGGTGAGGGTCGTCAGTGAGATTTCGGAGTCGTCCGGCGACTCGGTGGACCAGCTGAAACTCGGGGTCGTGAACCTCTTCCTCGTGGCAGTGGTCGTGGGCGGAGGGACGGTCGTCCTCTTGGTGATGGTCGGCCTATACTTGGTATGTTTCTCGGTGGGCAGCGACGTGGGCGTGGTGGACGGAGGCGTGGGCGTGGTGGACGGCGGTGTGGTCATGGTGGACGGCGGCGTTGGCGTGGTCATGGTGGACGGCGGCGTGGGCGTGGTGGGGGCGGCAGGCAGCTCCGTCGTCAGGGCAGAGCTTCCGCCGCCGAAGTAGTGCCGGTAAGGGAGCGGCGACGTCCGGACGTTGGACGGCTGCTTGAAGTACGAGTAGGTCATCGAGGTGTCGCCGGAGGAGTTGGCGAAGGAGGGCGTGCGCGGCGCCGGCGTCGTGCTGGTCAGGGGGATGATGACGGGCGTGGTCGTGCTCCATACACGCGGCTGGCTGCTGGTCGTCGTGACAGGCGCCCGCGAGGTAGTCCAGCGTTCGTGAGGGCGGGAGGTGGTGGGTGGGAAGTAAGGCTTGGTCCAGCGCGTGCGTGCGGTGGGCGCCGGGGGTGGGGCGGTGGTGGGCGGCGGCACGTAGCGAGTGGAGGCGTCCCAGGGGCGCGGGGTGGCGGAGGAGGACAAATAGTCCTCCGTCGCGGGGTAGGAGTCGTAGGAGTCGTAATAGGCATCCCCTTCGTCCGCCTCCGTCAGGTCATCCTCCGCGTAGTCGTAGTCACCCTGCTGGGAATCCGTGTTCCTCCAGCCGCCCAGGGCGTTGCTGGGCGAGTCAAGGTCCACCGACCCGAAGGCGTCGATCTCCTGCGACACTTCGACGGGCCTCTCCCTCA